TATTCTTGAAACATTCTGCAACGTTGCGCAACAGGCTTCGAGGTATGTTTTCGCCCGTTCGGTGGGCGTGTTACCCAAGTTAGTAAACACTGCAATGTTAACAAGGCAGTATCATACACAGTGGTATGTTCAAGGCACCGCCGCTTCCGTTGAAATAAATGCTTTGCTACGTTTGTCGGCACTGAACTGTTAAACGTCATGTGACTTAAGTAAAGTACTGAAAGTCCGGGTTCAAATCGACTGTGAGACAGCAATGTGTCCCTGAGCAAGACACTTAGAGGCGTGCGACCTCTGATATGTATAGCAATTGTAAGTCGCTTTGATTAGAAGCGTCAGCTAAAGTGAATGAATGTAAAACCAATAAGAACAATAAACCAGAATAAAATCAATTATAGAGAAAATGAAATGAAGTAAAATACAACTAGAACAGAGCTGGAGTTACATTCGTTTTCTTGTAGTGTCACTCTTCTGGTGTCTCTAATTTTTATTTGAATGCAGTTTTTTGTCTTCACTGGGACTCCGTAGGAAACTGGTCAGGAAGTTTTTCCCTTTTGATTTGTTTTGTCCTTGTTTTTAGAGAATTATATTGCATTATACTGGAGGAGGTATTTTTATATTTAGTCTACCCTCATTAATATCAGTGCTGTGGACAAAATAATAGAAACATCTAGCAGTATAATGCAAACAAGCAATTTGGAGATTTCCAAAAAAAATAATTTGATTAAACAGCACCTCTAAAACTTAAAACATTTGTGAAGGAATGCAGAGCCATTTTATGAGACTGCAGTAGTTTTAGTCAAGTAAACCTACTTATCTGTTAAAATGACAACACAGACATTTCTAGGAATATTAAAATTGGTATAGAGACAAAGATTGTGTTTATATTTTGATGTCATGTTCAAAAGAGTGTAGTACGGTACGTTCACGGGGGGAAATGTAGTCACTTCATCCAAGATGTTGTTGTTTTTGAGGGGGGACAGAATAGAAAACAAAATAGCAAGTATCTGAAGACACACTGCTATACAAAGTACCCAATTGTTCCCTATCATTTATTTCTACCCTTGCAGTAAATCCAACTTTCAGACTTTCTGGGAGGATCACAGGTTGGAAGCTGGTGAGCAGCAGCATGTCACCCCCTACAGGCCAATAACTGTTACCACAGCTCAGTGCTGCAGTTCACATGCAGAAACTCAAGTGTGTCCAGGTGTTTTAGAGGAGCACAAATCAGGAACACACACACACACACACACACACACTAAACATTTTATTTATTTATTTATTTATATATATATATATATATATATATATCCGCGAGTGGCAATGATCAGGATCCAAGCAAGTCGCGAAGAACCCAACATTTGACATTTTCAAAGGAGAAGAAAAGACGCAGACAACTTGAGATTAAAGTGATGAAATAATTTAGAATTTGAGATAATTGGGGAAACGCAAACAGCATCACCTTTAGATCAGAGAGTGTCATTATATATACCTGACTATTGGGTAAAATGTTCAACCCACCTGCAACATTTTCTGTTTCAGAGGTTAAAGCAAAAAAACAAAATGTTTTGCATACTGTACAAGTTAAAGCAAGATACTGAATATCACTGCAGACTCACCGTTTGACCGATTTTAAAAACCCTTTGAAACACTTGATATCGGCCATCCAGAGAATGTCTGAGTTGATTTTGGGAGCGTTTGAAGAAGGACTTGTGGAGATAGATGTTAATTGATTTAGAAGCTGCTTATCAACTCGGTAAATCAACCCAGGGTTTCCCAATCCAGCCGGGAGCGCGTTCACATAAAAGAGGCGGTGTTAGCAGCAGATGACCAATCACAGACATGAACAAGTCCACCGTCAGCAGAGAGTCATATTTTATGAACGAGGATTAAACTGTAACACTACAGAAATACGACAGTAGCACGTCTGCAGCTGACACATGCAGGGAGACAGAAAATCGCAGACAGTGTGAACGCCTAAATGAACAGGCGTAGTCTATAATATTGCGTTGATTTTTATGAGCTGTATCTATGAAAATATCCTCAGCCTTATTCTTTCAGCTCGGCTGTGTGTCGGCGTTTCCACATTAAAAAAACTTGTCCTCACTTGAAAAATGAGATTAATTTATTTAACACACTCAAAGTTTTCCAAACATTGTTCTAAATTAACTTCGTAAAGCAATGAAACGAAAACTCCATTCATGCCATAAAATGTGCTCAAATAGTGGCTGAAAGACTGAATCTCAACATTTAGGCTACTGAAAACTCACCGTCCCGCCTTTTGCGACCACATCACCCACATCTTTACTATTACTAAACTATTTTCCTTTAAGATAGCCAATACGAGAAATTGCCACCAACTAAAGCCACATTTCATCTGCCAGTGAGATGCGGAGCCGTAAGTGCATAGAGAGCAGCGGGGGTTGGTGGGTAATCAGCTGAATCATCAGCACTGAGGGCTAATTAATTACGACAGGGCTCTCAGTGCGTCATGGCCTTTTTTTTAAAGAGCTTGGAGCCAAATGTGCGCCGAGGCGTGGAGAAGCTTCCACTACTTATTACCAAACGCAGGGGGAAAGGTGGACGAGTCTCTAAAGAAACTTCCTCTTGGCTTGTCAGGGTTTTCTCGCTCGACAGGTGATCCTAATTAGATAAATGGCTGCCAGCTCCACCAGCACGCCTCACCCACACTCCTAATTACAGTCCCTGTTGTCTCCGACCTCCTGCGTGGCACAGCACCAACACAGGACCCCGACTTCAGTGATACAACATGTTTTAAATTTCTGTCTGCACCACAGGGTGTTTCAAGAGTAATTAATCCTAATGTTCGGCTATAATCAATCATAAGTGTAATAATCATTTCATAAGCCGGGCTGTGAAATACAAGAGTTTGTACAAGAATTATTAAAGTATTCACATTTTAAGGAAACGTTTAAGTTTGTTGTCTCCAACACACCAGAATAAATTTTATTGTTTTCCTCATTTCCAGCACAAGAATTTGACTCAAATCAAAGTTTAGGATCCTTAAGACCATTTCTTTCTGAGTCCATGTGCAAACCTGTCTGATCTGCAGGTCTTTGCTGACCTCTGGTGGCAGACCGAGGTAATGCTCTGTATTTACATTCAACAACCAGGAGGTGACCTATCTTTCAAGATAATCTTTAATAAGAGATGCTAGAACTCATTAAATTACAACGTCAGGAATTGAGTGTCTGATGAGTTTAATGTCCACATGAATATTTTTCTTTGTCAGCATGTACTCACATGACACCATGGCAGCCATATATTTTGGTGAAAAATAACCCAAACTCATTTTACTATAATAGTATATGATCATATGGTCAGTTCTTTACTGAGTTTAGAGTCAATGTGTACATGTAGAAAGAACAAAGAAAACAACCCCCTCAAAAACAAATATTTCATTTCAGTCAAAACTACAAAAATCCTTATTCAGTCTGGATTTATTATACACGTAACAAAATTATAAACACAGCACTTGTGTTTTTGCCCCCATTCATCATGAGCTGAATTCAAAGACTTTCTCTATGTATACAAAAGGCCTATTTCTCTCAAATATTGTTCACAAATCTGTGTTGCTCCTGAATTTTTTTGGATCGCAGCAAGATGTCTAACTTTTGAGGATCTTTTGGTCTACTTCACTTTGTCAGGCAGTTCCTATTTAAGTCATTTCGTGATTGAGAACAGGTGTGGCAGTAATCAGCCCTGGGTGTGGCTAGAGAAATTGAACACAGCTTACCAAAGATGTGATAAACCACAGCTGATTTATGTTTTCACGGGGGGGGCAATCACTTTTTACACACAGGGCTACGTAGGTTTGAAGCAATTCAGCAATTCAAAAACCACTCATTTAAAAACTTCATTTTGTGTTTACATGTGTTATCTTTGTCTAATATTTCAGTTTGTTTGATCTGAAACATTTCAGTGACAAGCATGCAAAAAAAAAAAAAAAAAAAAACTCAGGAAAGGGGCAAACACTTTTTCACACCACTGTACATTTGAACTTATTTCTTGTAGCTGCTCCTTTCATGTTTGTTTACCTTTTCTTTTTTAACACAGGCTTCCTCTAGTAACACCACAACGCTGTTGGTAATTCCCTCAGGCAAAGACTGCAAGTAGTGAAGCAAGCCAAGTAGCCATGTAGTAGTACTACACAGGACCAAAATCTGCTTCACTGCTCTTCAATCAAACCCGCGGCGTGGCTTCGTCCATTAATTATGCTGTCTGTCAGTCTGCAGTGATATGGACTGATGGAAAGTGTGCATAAAGAGCTCGGAGAATCTACGTGAGCCCTCATGCATTTGATGATTTGACAGTGGGACAGCGCCCCCAGCGCGGACTCATCGGGAACGCACCTCTGACTCCGTAAGTGTGGAGATGTGGCCTTTGACCCAATCCAACATAGACCGTCCTGCTGCCCCAAAATACTCACAAGAGCCCCAAATCTGGATTCATCCGCTGCTGAAAATAGTGCCCAACAAATGCACCGTTTCCTCCTCTTAGAAACTACAAAGTGTAGCTGTTTTAGGAAATTACTGAGCCTTTTTGAACAAACTATATTTGTGAAGTGTTTTTAAAGATTATACGTATTCAGGAGGACTCAGAGCCGCAGGCAGGCAGTGAGGAAAGTCTGGTTTGTGTCTTTCCATGGAATTTTGTTGTTGGGATATCAAAAATATAGATTAACACCAGATTTATTATATAAACAGCTGTCTGTTTCTCCGACACTATATGCATCCTTATTTATTTACACAGGAATAAAATCCAAATCAGACTGAGTTTGTACATTTTATAGACTTTTTGTTGCTTGGTTTTAAATGTAAATAAAAATAAGGAGAAGGAGTTTGAGTGAACCTTTCGTTTGAATGGCTGTTAATCTGTTTATGTTCACAGATGCAGGTGTTTGTTTCAGGCTTAACTCTCTCACACACACTCTCACACACACACAAACCCTTTGAACCCGGGAAATAAAGCAATCCAGCATCTGGGCTTTATCACAAAACAGGTTTAATTTAATATCTCTTTATTTTTTTAAAATAATTAAACATTTGTATTTCTCCAACCCTTTTTTAATCTTTTTTTTTTTTCCTTTTTTCAGTTTTTAACGTCATTATATCCGGGCCATTCTAAAGCACACATTAATTCTGCGAGGGAGGAGGCGGGAGGTTCACCATCAAACTCCCAACAGGGCAAAGTGGTCTGCTCCGCGCCTTCCCTCTCCTCCCCCCCTCTCGACTCCCTGCCCTCACCCTCCCTTCCCAACTAAAAAAAAATATATATAGCCAATGGTCAAAAGAAACTTCATCAAAATATCCAAAATGAGATAAAAACCAAGAAAAGAGGGAGGAGTGACAGACAGAAAAAAAACAGACTAAAAGAGGGGAGACACTATCATAAATACCAGGAAGTCTTGTTCCATAATACCTCTTTATATACTGGATACTCCTCTCCACAGTTTCCTAAGCAAAAAACATAGGCTAAATTACTACAAGATACAAGATTATCAGTGTACTGCATTCAATAACAATGTACAGGGTTGTCTTTTTTTGTCACTGTTGTTGTAATACTGTGAAGTCAACGCAGCGCCCCCCCCCCGGTGGGCGGAGGGAGGAGGAAGAGGAGTGAGGCGAGGTGGGGCGGGGCGCTCGTCTTTTCACAACAGGAGGAAGATTTTTGGCGCTCCTCTGAAGCCTTTTTTTTTTTTTTTTTTTCTGTGTTTGTTTTTATTTGTAAGTCCCCATTATGGCCGGAGGGTACCAGTGCCAGACTGATACCAGGGATACCTGGTTTGGTAGGTGAGGAAGGGATGGGAGGGGTCAAAGGTTAATAAAACATTATTTTTAAAAGAAGATGGAGGGAAGGAGAAAAAGTAGTCCCATCGTTTTTTTTTTTGTAGAGGAGAAAGGGGGAAAATTAATCGAGTGCGTTTACATGCGGGAGCGTTTCAGGATTCACACGCTTATATTATCGTTAATGTGTTGAATCCGGATCAGAACCATTGTGTGAGCAGAGGTCGCCATGTAAAAATAAATTCAAATAACCAGGATATGAGCTCATCCAAGCAACAGCCAAAAAGGATACAACGCTCGAAGTACCCTCTGTCAGGTGATTCAGGCAGTCGGGCAACACATTTAATTCATTATTTGTGCAATCAATATACTTATTTTGTTCCCTTAGTTTGTCATTTGTTACACCAATTACTTAAATCGCTGGTTAAAGTTGATGTGTAGAATATTTACTTATTATACTTATCAGATTACTCTGATACGTTTTGTTTTGGTCTCATGCAGTTTTTTTGTCTGCCGTTTCACATCATCAGCGTTGATCCAACCACTAGATGGCACCAAAGTAAAGAGGAAAATAAAAACAACTCTAATCCTTAAAGGTCATCATTTCAAACCCCAGTTTTTATTCAAAACCTATTCAGTGTATTTACATTCAGTAATTACCTCTCTGTATAGAAGTTTTCATTGTTAGTGGCGGAGTCCGCCATTTCTCTCATATTCACAGGAAACGATGAGCGCACATACGTCACTTTTTCGGTTGGTAATTTCATCTGATTGATGGAAGCTTTTCACAGACAGCCTTCGCACCGCTGCTGAATCAACATTCCCTGCTTCTTTAAATTCATCTGGTGAAACATGTGGAGGCTTTTACTGTGAAGCAGCCACAGGAAATGCAATTTTTTTATAAGTAATTTGAGAATGCAACATGAATTTTTTGGGAAATTATATATTTTGAAGGGCTAAATTGAAATAAGTATACTAAACACAAGAATTCCCCACACACCAGTACAATTAACTATAACCATGAACACGCATGTAAACACACTCAAAGAGGAAATGGTTTGTGTACTCAGAAAGTCCCTGTTGTCCTTTTTAAATGTGTTTTTGTTCAGTCCCCCCCCCCCAATTCAAAACAGGAAGCAGAACCTGTAGACCGGCGGGTTGGTTGGGCCAGAGAGGAGAAGGAGGGGGGAACATAATCAGTCCGGACGTCCCACACAGGAGGAGAAATAAGAGATGCACCATTAGAGAGGAGGGAGGGAACAGAAGGAGGGAGGCAACGAGAGGAAAAGCAAAGAGGAGAACCAGGAAAATAAAAATTACATATGGGGCTGTAGTGAGGAAGAGCGGGATGAAGAGTTAAATTCAATCTATCTTCTCTTTTATGTTTTCTTTTGTTTTCCATAAGTTCATTTCATGTCGTTCATGGGTTTGTTTGTTTTTTATTGTTGTTTAAATCCCCCTCCCACACAAGTCATTTTCTCATTTTCTATTTTTTTTCTTCCTTTTTTTATTATTATTATTTTGTTTTTCCGTTTGCAATAATATCAGTTTAAGGGAAAAAAAAAAAAAAAAAAAAAAAAGAAGAATTATTTACAGTGCTGTTGAAATAATGAAAACAGACGTGATGAATCTACTGTAAAGTAAGTCGCACAAACACAGGAGAAAGAAAAAAAATCAAAACAAAAGGAGCAAAAAAAAAAAAAGATAAAAGAAAAAAGACAATTAAGAAACCAGCGGGCGCTCCATGACGATCCAGAGACAATGGCCTGTATCTGGGGTTTCTCAGAGCTCTGGCCAGACATGGCTGATGTGGAGGGGGGAGGAGTCGGGGGTAAGGATGGAGGAGAGGGGGAGTCACAGGGGGAGAGGAGTGGGAAGGGCGAAGAGGGGAGCACGGCGCTGTCTTCGTTAAGTTGGGATAATCCCGTCGCTCCTAAGGCCCCGCTTCAGCTCCAAGTCCTCCAGCTTCTTCCAGAGCTCCTCCCGCTCCTTCTCCTTCTTCTTCTCGCTGAACAAAAACAAACAAAAACATGGAGGACGAGTTTTACTGTGCGTCACTGCAGCCTGGTGATTTGTTCAGTGATTCATAGGTCTGGTGTTGTGCCCACTGACGGCTATTTGGATGGATGAGATCAACAACATGAACAAACTTAAGTTACAGAATTAAGTCTTAAATCTGCGGATTTCTGTGATCGACATGAAGAGGCTGCAGCCGTGCTAGCAGCTCTGTGAGCTACACGCTAACATCAGCGTGCTAATATGCTCACAATGACAATACCTAACATGCTGATGTGTAGCAGGTCTCTGATGAACGTAATTTAACTTTTGGTAAACGCAAAGTAAAGCTGAGGCTGATGGGAGTGTCATTAGTTTTGCAGGCTTTTGGTCAGAAACCGAAAGTACTGGAGAAATTTTAACTTTGACCTGCTGGTGGAGCCTAAAGGAAAAATCAGAGGATCACCAAAGTTCCTACAGTTCATCCTGAGAGAGACATCATCTTCACATCTGATACTGATTTTCAGTTGTTTTTTTTTGTCTATTATATATTAATATATATATTGTTCCTTTATTGATCCTAAACATCAAATTACTTCTACATATTAATGTCCTTTGGCACACACATAATTTTACTGTTTTATTTATTTTATTTTTAAAACACACAATTTTACGGTTTATTTTATTGATGAACCATATGAATTGAATTCACAACACTCACGCTTAGCGTTTTATTTCTTATATTTTTTGTATGTTTTTTTTATTTTAACACACAAACAGAGTTTTACTCTTGTATTTACTTTATTTAATTAACTGTATGAAATGTTCTTTTGTATTATATTTTAAGCTTTGGCAATATGGCTGTTTGACATTCATGCCAATAAAGCTGAACTGAATTGACATAAATTTTTGAACTACTACAATAGACTGTCCTGCTGCTGTTATGTATGTTGTCGAAGGACAGTTTCTGTCACTGCATTCAAATTTTATCAGTTCATCTGAAAGTTGTGTTAATTGATATTTCACCCAAAAGCACAAATGTCAGCCTCATGGTGGAGCTATAGGAAAAGTCAGAGGATGCTTCTTCAGAGTTTCGTGGTAATCGATCCTGCAGATATTGAGATATTTCATTCTGGACCAAAGTGGCGGTCCGACCAAGGACACAGCGCGATTTACACATTTAGACCTGATAAAAAAAAAGAGCACTGGAGCCAGAAACATTGATTTGTGTTATGAGAATCAGAGGTTGTGGTATTAAAGTACATCCCTGCTACTAAACACTGCAGTGAACTTTGAATCTTGATTGGCCAATAAACTCCAAAACGTAATCAAACTGTTCTCTGTATTAAAGATGGGGTCAGAGATTCTCCATTCTGTTGTTGTGATGTTAGCTATAGCAGCAGGTCCGTCTCGTCCGCTCTGCATGTTCACAGCAGCAGCTGTAGCAACAGTTTGCTAACCCACCAAACATTAGTTATATTACTTGCTGTATTGTGGCATTTGATTTCTCCAGAATCGCACACCCCATCTTTAAATCTACTGAAAGTATCACAGACAACAAAGTCTGTAAGATATTAACTTTGACCGCTACTCCGACACTAAGCCTGCTGTTCCTTTTACAGCTATTATTAATCCTGATATTTGGAAGTGTGATGATAGTAACACTGTTGTCGTGTCAGGCAGCTCCCTGCAGAGACCATGAACTTTCACAGTGACGATGGTGTGAATGTGAGCAGCTTCTCACCGCTGGCGGTCCGACTTGTAAGTGGCTGTGAGTTCATCAAATAAGGTACTGTTCATCTCCATGAAGGCCTTCAGTACGTTGTACACCAGTGCCACGATTGCCCTGCGAGGAGGAGGAGGGCAGAGAGAGTTCAGTTCACAACTGGCTTTTATCATTACTTAAAAAAGGTCCATGACTGTGTAAAATGTAGACAAATCCATTTAGGTCTCACAGAAATGAAGCTTTGAATACTGATTGGAAGAGACGGGAGTTCATTCCTGCATCCTCTCTCCTTGCACTACAACTAAATATCTCCTCTGGCTTGCCTGTTCCACGGCCACCTTCCTCTGGCAGGCTCATAGTTAAAAGACTGCGGTCTGTCACGTGGCTATGAAAACGTATTTTCACGCTCATCAGTGCTAAGGCTAGCATTAGCATCCATATTATTATTGTTATATTTGACCGAGCTTTGCTGCGCTCCCTTATGTGCTTCTTCTCATCATATATACAATTTCAACATAATTTTTTCTGACACATATACTAACAAGAGATGCCAACCTGAAAGTTGTTCTTAAAATAAACTGTTTGTGCAGACCTGGAAAATGAAACTTTCCAGACCTGCTAGGGTAGGAAGTGGGGGGGCTGCAGCGTCATCTTCATCAGAGATACAAACATTTATAATGAAAGTGTTTGGTCTTTATGAAATATCATAAGTGTCTTTGTCAACATTCAATTTCTTTAAATGTTCCTATCAATATTTGGATGTAAACTATGTATAAACGTTGGCAAGAAGATTTTTTTATTTTTTTTTCATTGACAATAAACCAGACTCTGTTAGCGGATGCTAACAGACTCAACAAACTGATCCTCAAGGCCAGTGACGACGTGGGGGTGGAGCTGGATTCTGTCGGTGGTGTCAGAGAGGAGGATGCTGCCCAAGCTACATGTCATCTTGGACAATGTCTCCCACCCACTCCATGAGGTGCTGCTCAAACACAGGACTCGTTCCCCCAACATGCACCACAGAGCGACACAGGAAGTCATTCCTGCCTGTGGTCATCAAACTTTATAACTCCTCCCTCTAAGTGTCTGACACACGGACACGCAAACTATCATTATCTGTTTAGTGCAATATTCTCTGCTGCTATTTATTCATTAGTACTATTCACCATAACAATTATTTAATAATGGAAATATTGTACATACCCACAATCCTTTAAATTTTTTTCTTTACATTTTATACCTACTTTCTATTATTATCTCTATTCCTTGTACATTGACAAGTGGGCAGCTGTGACAAAAGAATTTTGCCTCAGGGATCAATAAATCTCTAAATCTGATTCTGATTTAGAAGACCGGTTTTAACTAAGCAGCTGATAAAACTGCCAATCTGCCAAAATCCAGACACCACATGAACATCAAATCATCTAAAACCAATCTAATCTGGATATTTCTTGTGAAGTATATCAAATCTGAAAAGAACGAGCCTCAGCTATCTCCCAAAGCTGGTGCAGAGATTTTTATTTTTATTTTTTAAAGTCGCTCACGGGTTCCAGTGCTCTTTGGAGATCCTGTAGAGGCTGGAGAACATGATGGGCAGGATGACGCTGGAGTTCTCCTCGATCAGACTCATGATGTACTCGTTGTTCCAGTAGTACAGAGCTCGCTCTGCAACCTGGGACAAAGACGGCAAACACAAACTGGGCTGAGTGTCGACGTATGATGTGATAATGTAATAATAAATGTTCCCCTTAAGATGAGGCTTGGCAGACAAAAACAGTTTTTTCATGCGCTGGTCAATTTTGAAATTTTGGGCAACTTTGCAAAGAAAACGTTACATAATAATTACAATATCCATTTAGTAGTTTATTTTACTACAGTTGGACTCTGTGCATCTGTTGATTTGTCCTAAGTTCGCTTTCCAACGCTACATCTCCTGCACCATGATGAACGCCAGTATCGAAATCTTTCTCTCTTTCTCTTGCACAACGCTGTCGGATCCAAATATGGTTATTTCCTTTGTACAAAAAAAAAAAAAAAAGCCAAGCGTGAAAGAACAGAGGCGGATTTAAGCCAAGCGTGAAATCTGATGGGCTAGTGTTGATTTCTGACAACGTGATTGGTTTAAATGAGTCACGTGACTTCCTGGTTTAGCTTTCCGCGGGTGGCTCTGTCTGTTTCTGTCTGTTTTGTGTGTCTAAGATGTTGCATATTGATGTTGTTAAGGATTTGATAGGATATCGAGTCTGTAAATATTGATTTTCAATGTGTAGAATTTTACAATACTTATCTTTACAGCCCGTTCTCTCAAAATGAGTTTTTCCTCATCCTCTGAGCCTAAAATCTTCACTGCAGTAGCTTTTACAAACACCAAACTTTCCAGTTTTATTCCTGACTATATTCTGAAGATTTCTACTGAGGGGGTTTGTTCATATATCATTCACAGCCTGAATTATAGAATATTTTATTCCCAAAAACAGGTTGAAAAATGTTTGTTTTTTTATGCCGGTGAGAGTTTTTTCTGATTCATGAAATATTAAAAGGAGATATCCAAAATCCTCTCAGTAAAAACATTGAGTTAATCCAGTGTTCAGATTTCAGTTCTTGAAATAGACGCAAATTAGCGCATATTACTGCCTCATTTGCATATTTATCATATTTCAGAAAACCTGTAACGCAAAAAATATTGTCTTAATGTAAGTAATCAACTAGGAAAGTTTCATGGTGATATCTATTAGTTAAATTCTTTACCCTATCCACTTGTTTCCACACTACAGAGCAGGTAAAATCACACTGACACTGAATCAGTGCTGGATGGTCGCTGACCTGAAAGTGTGGGCTGGAGACGCATCTGGAGATCTGTTTGAAGAGCGGCTCCTGGATCTTGACGAACTGTGTTGGTTCGATGACGTCCAGGATTTCCTCCAGCTCCCCCAGAAACATCACCTGCAGCACAGGAGGAAAGTTTCACTACACACACGCACAGAGTTTACGCACATGTACAGTTCAAACTAAAAGAAACGACAACCCTCACCTCTTTTTGACTGCAGGTTTTTGGCCAGAACTTCAGTAAGCCTCTGATGACCTGAGGAGGAAGAAGAGACAGATTTTATACTTTGTTTGTTATTTTAGTAATCGTTAAACCGTTAAATTAATTGTTCTTTTGTAATTTATTTGTAGCTTTGGCAATATTGTTGATTTACTTTCATGGCAATAAAGCTGAACTGAATTGACCCTTCGCTAAGCCCCGCCCCCCCTTAGTTAGTGTTGCTAAGTCCGACAAACTGACAGCGCTGCCACTGTCTATTACTGCACACCCTGGACATATTGTCAAATTTGTTGGAAAAAGCGATCTCAGAAAGAAGCAGACAGTTTTGCAGTTGCATTATAGATTTGAAGGTTGTATTCAGGCTGTCAGACTGACTCAAACTGACTCAGATTGACTCAAACGGACGTGAAAAAAGTAAAGATAAAAAAGACCAATCACAGATCATAAAGTGAACCACCACATCCCCCGACCGATCAACACTGTTACTGTAAAGCTGGTCGGTCTCTGTTCATTATTACAGTCATTAAAAAGCAGAACAGCAGGGCTTTATTACGTTATATTCAGTAGGAAGTTAGCTAGCGTTAGCTACCTAACATCACATTAGGAACGACCCACAGCCGACATTTTTCTGGATTTATTTTAGGTATTGGAAAGAGAATAAATCGTACTTCTCCTTTCAACCTCTCTGGGTAGCGACTAACTATTACAAGTGACCCAGGAACAGCGTTTCACCAGATCTTAGAAAAATACAGCCCAAAAAAAAAAAGCTAGAAAACGACTCTTTTTGCATCAGAGTCAATGGAGCGCAGCCATGAAAGTGTCGGAGCTCAGTTCGAGCGAGACCTATACTGCGCTGTGATTGGCCAGCTGTGTATTCGGGGCGTGGCTTAGCGAAAGGTTAATTGACTCCTTCTTCCAGTTGCACACCAACTATCAGCTGTAGTGACGGCGTTGCAGGAAAAGTGGGATTTGTAGCAGCACTGGCATGCTATAGGTGCCGTCACCCAAAAGCTGGACTTCAGACAAATGTACTGTTGCAACAATTGATAAACTTTCTGGAGGAAAAAGACCATCATCCAGTATGGCGAGGATTGTTTGTATACAGTCCATGCATTGGTCAAGTACAGCAGTTATAATCAGCAATGGCCAGTGACAGTTGATACTTACTGGTTCTGTTAATGTTGGGTCTTTCTCTAGGAACTGTACAATGCAATACGCCAACTGCAGGGAGAGAGGAGAGGCCACACGTTAGCACCTTTAGCTTAGCTTGTAACAGCAAGTCGGATAAACAAAAACTGGAAGTATAAATGCTCTGTTAACAAGACAAAATATTAACTTGCCAAAGTTTAAATGTTTTCAACTTTGTGTACTGGTCACAGTATGAATCATACTTCATATATACACACACGTCATTAACAATGCAGCCCTGCAACTGATTTTGCTTAAAGTGCTACAGCTTTGTTTTTCTTAATTTTTAAATCCAGAGTGTCCAACTGTCATGTGTTAAAGAGCACAATTACATGTTTTTAAGTAAAAGATATGTCTCTCACACACACACACACACACACACACACACCAGCATGTCTTTAAAAGGCAGCGCAGGTTTAAAATGTAAGAGTACTGTTAATGATCACCAGCAACTCTGTATGTGTGACTTTGTAATTCCGGAGAGGTCACAGGTATCATAGAGTTAAAATATTAGTATAAGTGGAAAATCAGTGAGTGAAGTTTCAGTCGCTCTGCGCCCCATGTACGAGAAATACACTAGGATTGTTACAGGAGGAAACTTTAAAGACAAACACACATATATTACCTGTGCGTGGAAGAGGGACAGACTCCTGACAGTGTGGAGGGGGATCAACACTTTGACCAGAAACTGTTTATGCTCCGCTTTCAGCGGCAGAGCGAAACCATTGATTATACTGGAAGAGAGAGCCGGAGGGAGGAGGGGAGACAGAGAGGAAAAAAATAAATAGAGAAAATATAAACATAAATTAAACATTAACACATGAAAGAGTTTCCTTGTGATCCCCTGAAAGCAAGTGAAGATCAATGAGCAGCGGACTGAAAGAAAACTGTTTATACCGGCGGTGCAGCCTGGAGGAGACAGAAAGAGATGTGATGTGCTCTAACCTTCAGGCCCAGAGACAACAGACGTGATGCTCCTTTAAAACTCTTCTGATTTACTGGATTCAACTTTGTGTTGTTTCCATAAGAGATTTTTGTTCAAGGACAAACTGTAAGAATACATTTAGCCGAGGAACATCGAGCATTTTGACGCTGTGCAACAGGCTTTCTCTCCTACAGATTCTCTTCTTCTGTATGAACACAGGTATCCAGTGAGGTGAGGTTTACATGTTATCAGAGCCACAAGTTAAACCTGTAGGTGTCTGATTTCTAATATGAAAAGAAGAGGAAAGCATGTCCAGTGAATCCAAAACAGGGAGCGCAGAGTAATGAGATCAGCAGCACAGTTAAGGCTGAATATGGGTGCTGGGTTTGGTGCTCTACTGGTAACAAAGGAGGGAGACGTTAAGCAGACGATGATCCAAAACGTCACAGGTGCAAACACAGAGACGTGGAAATATGATGAGGCTCGATGTAAATTGTAAATTTACATTTCAACAGGCTGGGCAGGTTTTTATTCCTCCGTCAATCAATTCAATTATAGTAATGTCTCATAAACGTTAGAAAAGAGCAGAAACAACTGGCATGTTTAAATCAAAACCAGGTGAAACAAAAAGCTTGACAACTTGCATCTGATCTTGTTCACCTCTCGTTTAATGAATTTATTAAATTGCCCTCTGGAAGGCGCTAAAGAGCAACTGCAGCAAGTAAGAACATTTACAAAAACTCTTCTCTCAACTCAAACATGTCCCACCACTGGAATCATGTACCTTACTGTCTGTCTTGTATTTGAGGCGAGGCGTCTGCTTTAACACGGTGCACAAAGTCCTGACAGTAAAATAATTTGATGTTTATTGCGTATGTGAATTAAGACAAATACCAAGTGACTCCAAAGAAAAACCTGCTGCAATGGTTTTTACTTTTAATGCCTTCACCTGTTAATCTCTCTGTTGTCTGAGTAAAATCCTAGGAGGATGTTGGGAGGTGATTTAAAAATGCTGACTTAAACTGACATAATCAGTTTAGTGTCTGTGTTTCATTTTAAACTTTAAGGATAAACCTGTTAAGAGAGGGTCCTCTTTCTCACAACTGTTAAAGCCTAATATTCAGTTAGCGGACTAACCGTATCAGCACTAACTTCTTTGCCGCTGCTGGAGATGTAGAACGTGTGTCAGGACACAGCCAGTGTCAAAACTGTCTTTGGTCAATCTTCTGTCGACCAGCTAATGACTTCATTCTGAACCTGTTCCGGCCTGCTAACCTGAATTGATAAAGAATTAGGAACAGTCAAGCTGTCCTTTAAATTGAGTCAGGCTGAACGTTATATTAAATATTCAAGAGCACAGAAGCAGCTATAAGGGATTAGGTAGCTATATTTCAGACACATTTCTATATACATATATATATATATATAAATTAAAAAAACACCCTCACCCGTCTGCACGTCAAACAACGCCATGCAACTCCTGACACAGAGCTGATAAACTGTCTCTGTAAATCAGGTCTTTTTTATAATGGATTAAAATGGATTAAAAAGACCGTGGAGCTGAGAGGATTAATTTATTTCTTATCTACAAGTCAAACTGTGGCCCTGACTCTCCCCTGAACCTCACAGCTCTACTCAATCCTGTTTTTATGGAGACAAATCACTCCACTTTTGAGTTTTCACCATTTCTTATCAATCTTTTATAATCAGAGGCCTCTTTTGAAATAAATCTCCATCTATATAAGATTAAATAAAAAGATAAAAACCATCCTCGTATCATTACAACATTAAGAACACAGGCAGATGTCAGGGTTGGGCTCAGATCTGCCGGTGCGCTCAGGTCCATGTGGTTCTGGGTAAAAGCCTGAGCTGCAGTAACGGAGCTGAATGTGAATGTGTGTCTGAGGGTCGGAGGCCTCCACATACCTCCCCAAGATCTCCAGCAACTCAGCCACCCCGTTGAAGTGCTCCGTCTCATAAACAAAACTGCAGAGCAGACAGAGAGGGAGGCGTAGAAAAGAGGAGACAAAAGACAGGAGACAGATGAGACTCGGGGAGAAAATCATTCAACTACTAAAACAACAGAGCAAAGATTTATAAACGAACACACAGGCCTGTACTGATAACCAGCTTTGTTGGATGACATGCTGCAAATTATTAAGATAAAAGAAGTTACTGTTATTTTAAGAACTTTTCATGCTACTGATAATAATAATAATAATAATTCAAAGAGCAATACATTTTTTTTTCATAGGAATATTCAGACAATATTAAAATATCCTAAATAATTAAAACATAAAACAAAACATAAAATGGACTCTCTGGCTCTTAAAAATAAAAACCAAACATTTGGTTCATAACAGGAAGATGTATTCTCCTTTTTTGTTGCAGCTGTTAAACGAAGTGGACATACCGGCTCGTTAACAGGGTCTCCTCTCTCATTCAGCTGAACCCTGAAATGTTCCCACCCTAGAGCTTTGAAACCAAGTGCATTTGGCCTTATTCTTCCAAACTTTCGGGTTAGAATTAAACTGTCGGGAAAAACACCTTTTAGCCTTGAGTAACACGTTATGTTGAACGTATGCGACACGTTTTCGATGCGTCCTGAGCGCGGCAAAGTCCACTGTACGTTTCAGCAGCAGAGCGTGCAGCCTGCCTCGAGTTACTGACTTGTTATTAATTTGTGCTTTTTGTGCTTGCACTACGTTCTTCACGGCTCTCTGTTACCACGTTTCGTTCCGTCAACTTCAGGCTGCATTTCCCACAAGGAGCCTTTCAGAATCAGAGCGTTTTGCCTGATTTTGCTGACATGTTTAGATTTTGTTGATTTGGTAATCAGTGCTTGCTGTCTGAGCTTCTACTGTGATTGAGTAGGCTACATAGTTAAATTATTTCTTTTTGTGTTTGTTTTTACCGTGTTTGTTACTTTACGATCGGGAGTCTCCACGGGACGTTTTATTTTGAAAATTGACCGGATTCTCGATGCCGTTCTGTTTCTACCCCGTACGATCTGCTCTGTGCTGCCTGACGAGTCATCCGTCAAAAATAGACCTGCTGTCTATTATCTGCAGAGCCGAGCGGAGAGCCACTTTTTCCAAGCGAACTCTACGTGTCAAACATATGCCTTTATAAGACGACCTTCACCCCTGTCAATAATGCAATTATCGTGACAGGCCTACGAACATATCGACTGATACCGACTATAAATGGCTGGCAGAACAACAAAAAGGTCCACACCTCTGACAGACAGAGACAAACAGAAACTTGAATTGAGCGAATACTCACCGTAGAAAAATATTATTGATCTGTTTTCGTATAAAAGCCCTCAGCCCCAGGAATTTGCCGTAGATTCTATGCAAGACTGTCTTCAGGTAGTCTCTCTCCCGAGGATCCTCGCTGTCAAACAACTCCAAGAGCTGGGGAGAAGGAAGGAAAACAAACAGAAGGGACATCAGAAAGGAAGTTAAAAAGACGAAGAGGACAGCAGGGGGGAAAGCATGAGAGAATGAAGAGGAAGAATATGAAAGGAAAGATAAAAGCTCACGTTAAACTGACAACAGGTGACATTTAAAGCAGAGCTTTGACCTGCAGACGGACTCAGCGACTCACCTGTAGGACAAACTTCTGGTCTATGTACTTTTTGGCAATGCTGGGCTGGAATTCCTGACTCTCCAAGAACCGGATGAAGAACTCGTATACCAACTGGAGAAAGAAGGAGAAGAAGGAGGAGAAGAAGAAGAAGAAGAAGAGAAGGAGAGGGCAGGGGGACAGTTGTTGATATTTAAAACAAAAAAGTTCAACTTTTGCAAAAGTGCTGCGCAGAAAGACTGGTCACAGTTTGTGTCTCACTTAGTTAAAACTATGATTAACATCCTGACGTACAACAAGCAGATTCACAAATAGAAGAAGAATCCAAAGACTGACATGTTCCTCTTAGAAACCTTAAACCAACCCTGTAAATACTGGGACTGGACTGACTTAAAAGGGAAAGGTCAAAAGCAGTCAAGGTCCCAAAAGGTACAACGTAATGTGGGTATAGCTAGATGAAAAAAAGGTTTGGATTGGCCAGGATGTGGAGAAATAAAGGGATTCTGATTGGGTGAAAAAAAATAAAAAATTAGTTGTTTAATGACACGAAACGAAAAACTATATTACCAGGAAGCTTCTCCTTGAGATTTGCATCTCATATCTAAAAGGACACCGAGGGGAAGGAGGAGGAAAACCAGAGAGCCTGGCTCTAGACCTGGGCCCAAAACAAAACCCAAGCAAAATATTTTCAACCTCAAAAAGGAGTCAGACTGTGAGAAACGTAAAGATGCTCTCTACCTCTCTAATGCTTAACTTAGCATAAAGGGGAAGTTCAAAAATAGGCCTACAAACACCTCTTAAGCTCACTTGTTAACACACTGTAAAAAAAAAAACTACTTGTGGTTTTAGAGGAGTTACACAGCAAAGCTATTTCAGTAACAACAGCTGGGTGTAGCAACTGTTCGCAGCATCACAAAGTCTTATTGTCAAATTTAGGTCCAAAGCAAGTCCATCAACATTTACACACACATCACACTGCTTATTCTAGTAAAGATTATTTATATAGTCAAAATCGGTACAGCAGAGGAGCTGCGTTTCCATTTTGATAGATCAAATTTAGAAACTGTCACAGTGAGGTTTGGTACCAGCATGCAACAGTATCTGGCAACCTGCGATATTTCTACATTTCTGTTTGTGTACCAATTAAAACAAACAAGATATGATGTGTTAATGAGTTAATCCACACACACTTTTTGTGGCTGTGTTTACCTGTAAGTGCGGCCAGGAGGCCTCGAGCGTGGGCTCATCTTCCTCAGGGTCAAACTCATTACTGTCACTGGGCGGAAGGGTCCGGAATATGTTGTGAGACACCTGGAACGATGATAAAAAAAATATTTATCAGCCTGAATACAACAAAGTCATGACTGTCCGGAGCCCCCGCAGCCCTAAGACATTTTCTTATCTTGATCACACACACCATAAAAACTTAAAAAGAAATTAGCTTTTAGGACTTCGGGGGCTCCCTAGCATCCAAATAAAACACCGTGTGACTTTTTTATGCAAATGTATCTGCTCAAGTGTGTAGGCTGACTGTGTTCATTCCCTACAAGCATACAATTTACCTGCTGTACAGACGTTAGCTGTAACTGGCTAGCACACTCCAGTTCTTTCTGTTACTTCCTCGAAAGATTTTTAACTTGCATGGCTGCATGTCCGCCTCAACTGTCTCCATCTACGGCTAATTTGCATCCGCTGACTGTCCAGTCTTTTCACCGACTTTGTAAGTCGCCAATAAAATCTGCTTTCTATCCATTCTGAGTGCAGCTTTAGATCTGGTGCGTCCTGAACCACCACAACTGACCAGGAGCTGTTTTCCCTTAATGTCAGAGCTTATTTACTTTAGAGGAATGTTTGCTTCTAGTATGTTCTGTTCATGTGTTTATTTTGATACAAAAGAGGCAGACTGGAAACACTTTAGTAATTTGCGTTTTCATTATGATTATGGCCTCTGTAGTAACTCACTTATTTTACATGCACACGTCAACCTCAGCTTTCCCACTGCTGCTGAGTTCACACAGGTGCATTTACATTTTGAGCTGTTCTCTGCATTTACATTTTGAGCTGTTCTCTGCATTTACATTTTGAGCTGTTCTCCGGAGTGATGAAGGGAGTAAAGCTGTAAAAATCTACAACACGTCATTAGTGTTTGAATAAGAATCAAATGCACTGAAAAACTGGGTGACGCTGTACAGAACACAGTCCGAACACTGTCGGACTCCCTTTTCTTTGATGCTGCTCATTTTCCTTTGCAGGTTCTTTCTGGGACACTAACTTATATCAGAGCTTCTCACATGAGCGAGTGTGCACATCAGGGGCACAAGACAGCGAGGACGGGAAATGGGACAAGACCTGAGTACGAGTCGAACTATCTGCAGGCACTGAGCAGCCGCCAACAAAGGAGAACAAACCAGCTTCACTGTAATTCATCTTCTTAAGATTTAGGAATGTGAGTTGAAGTGAGTTTGCTGCATTCTGACTGGCTGCTGGAGTGGGGATCTGAGTCGAGGGCTGGGTTCTGAATGTTAACAATGTTTGAGTACCGCACAAATTGTGCGTGGAGCACCAACTATCATCAGAGATTACCATTCAAGATCTTATCAGGACTCATATTCATGTCGGTTTTAAAGACTGTTTTGCAAGTTATTGGTTTAAAAGAGGAAAACCCCTTCATGCAGACTCTGTGCTCGGTGCAGACTGCTTCAGCTCTCAGGAAGTGAACACTACGGCCGGACCGGGACCCAACACAGCCTCCTAGACCGGCAGAGGCCAGTTTAAAGACAGGGAATACAGGACCGAGGTAGTTTTCTTTCCGGGTTTGGCTCCTGGCACCCCAGGGCCGAATCAGCTAGGACAACTAGCTACAGATACAGACAGATACAGTTAGTAACATTAGCGGTTTAGCGAAAAGTAAATGGATCTGTTCTTCAAGAAACTCTGTAAATCACCTCAGTACTATATTCCCAGTTGGTCTCTGTGTTCGGTCCCGTTCACGCCGCGGTTCACTAGGAGCCAGCTGAGCATGGTTTCGTTGACAGCTTGCCAATCCGGCGCCACTCAAAACCTCCAGTGCTTGAGTAGAAGTAACGTTAAACACAACACACTCCCCCCAGGTGCTCCAAGCTCCCGTTCCGGGCCGAGTCAGCTATGATCACTAGGCTAACCGAGCTAGTTAGATAACGGCAGCAAGTTAGCCGCGGGTACTTAAGCAACAACCTCGGGAGAGTTGAGGCAGAGCAGCCAGGGCACACGGGGAACGTTAACGTTAATTCTATGGAAGCCCAACAGTTAAAGTGTTGTCTTTGTAGACAGCGGAGGACGCAGGCAGTGAGGCAGCTGACAGAGCAGCTGTCAACTGCGTGTATGGAACTAAACTGAGAGATTGTGCACTGTAGCACGACACTAACCATCTCTCTGAAAAGGCAGATCGTGGAGACATTTTAATCGTCCACGATCTAATATCATAATATCGCCCACCCTTAGTAGCTATCACTTATATATCTCTGGTGGTAATGTCTCACAGTGAGGACTGCTTAAAGAGAGACTCGACACTAAACTCGCCGTATTTGAGTTTATAAATTATACGTGCAGTTTTCCCCCTGAGAAACTCGAGCGCTCTGGTCATTAAGACTAAAAGACACTTTTGTCACATTCTGTCTCGTTTTTTCAGCAAAAACATTTTTATATTCAACAAAGCAAGGCATCGACCAAGCAGTGAATCCAAAACCTGTGATTCAGAACCGCTTCAGTGGCTCAGAGGATAGACGTTGGTCAGATGATTCATGCCATTGGTAAGAAGATAAACTACATAAATTTCAATCACCGAGTCCAATTGTAGCTTAAATTATGAAATATTGGATAGCTTTACCTCTGTAGGCCTAAAAATATATATTAAAATGAGACATTATGAGGTCCAAACGTCCTTTTCATCTCCTCCGAGAACACTTCCTATTTATCCCATTCACAACGTATGCACTAATAGCTCTTACCACCATTTACTGCTGCACAGATCTCTTACTTTATTGATGTTTGTATGTTGATCCTCAAAGAGGAAATTTAAATGGAAATGCAAACTTTTACCTCAGACTTCTGACACCCCTGATGAGGGGTTGCAAGTAGACAACACTTAATTTGAAAACTGGTCCTATGGAGGTAATTTGGCTCCTTGTATTTTTCCTCTAGCTTGTGCAATTCATTGTGTACATTGAATGTTCCTCCCTCCTCACCATTTTGACGACCTCGGGGTAGGCCTGCTCTGTCAGGTAGCCCCGGCTGACGGTCACGTAGTCCACCAGCTCGTTGAGCGTGGAGCGCTTGTACTCCTTCATCTTGAGGTCCGACAGCGTGTCCATGAAGTCAAAGACAGTACAGCACTGCTGCAGCTTCTTCAGGAACAGCTCCGGCTGCTCCGGCGCCGGCACGTCTGGACGCACAAACCAAAAGGGAGAGAGAGAAAGAGAGAGAAGAAAAAGACCAAGAGAAAAGTCAGATAAATTAAATAAAAAAAGTGAACCATGCAGACGTTTCTGACTCTCTCTCAAGTCAAAGAGCTGCAACACAAAACATCACAAAATCAAACATTCCAACCTTCCTCAGAATGTAAAGACAGGTAAGCGGTATGAAAACCTTCCAGCTGCGTTTTCCTCTGCCGTTGTTGCTGCAGCGCTCTGTGTGACGGCGGGAGCGGAGGGCTCTGTGAGCGGGCGGCTGGCCGGCCTCGCCACTTGCGGAGCTCCTCAACTCCGAAAACCTTCAAGCACATTTTTGTTCCGCCATCACTTCTCGTAAAACTGTCAATATTTAAAATCTACACAGCTGATTTCTCACCTCAAAACTTCTCAGAAGTGGATTTGGTGATTTGAAAACTGTAAAATATAAAACTTCCTGTTGCTGGCCTCTGTCTGGCGCACGCAATGATGATGCAGTGAATAGTGACGATTCTCTCTGACCAATCAGCAGTCATTTTAGTATCGCCTCAGCTCGCTTGGATCCTTGACAGAGGTGATACGAAAAAAAGTATAGGTGCAACTTTTCCACAATGGAAAACCAAAACACGGCGAGTAGAGTCGAGGCGAGTCGAGCTGGTAGCGTGCAGTGGACATGGGGCGTCCTGGTGGAACAGTGGTATGACACACTTTAACTGTGATGTCGTTGGTTTGATTCCTGCTGGGTGATTTTTCTTCTGTTTCTTAATTTTGTGGCTTATTGAGGTTAAAACTATTTCAATGTGTGTTTGTTTTGTTTTGAATGTCTGTGTCTGCTCTTGTGTTCATGTTCTTGTCTCTCTTATTTTTGTTTGTTCAGGGTTCCTACTTGCAAATCCATCTAAAAGTAATTTTCTCTGCATCACAAGTTGTTAAGGAAAACATTAAAAATGCCAAACATCTGTGAAAACATTAGGAAACATTTGGCACTTCTTTCTAAAGTAACTTGTCCTTAATTTATTTTACTTAGTTATTTTGTTTTCAATGTGTGTCATATAAAAGCGCTCATTTTTTTCTCCTCTGTTTATTTGTCAGGACGCTGCACTGGTCAGAAGCCAATAATGATGAGCAGTAATTTGGAGATACAGTTTCCTACCACACAGGAAGTGATTTGTTTTAACAGCAACATGGTCTCTTGGTTTGGTATAAACAGAACACGTACTCGGTGTTTAGCATGAGCAGGGATAGCCACAATAGCTTGCACACTTCCAAAAATGGGAGTCAAGCAGTATCATGATGTTTAAGTTCTCCAAAAAGGTATTTATTTACCTATGGAGTTCAACAAGAAAAGTTTATAACTGACAACAAAGGTTGCTACAGCTGCACACCTCAGGTGAAAGTCAAGTTTCCTGCTCTGCATTAGTTTTTTTTTACTTATTCATCTTTTCTGCAAACCCTCTCAGCTCGGGGAAGATGAGCGTGACAGCCTCATTATCCGGCAGTGAGCGTTTCTGATGTACGCGACGCAGGCTGAGATGTGACACACCGTATGGACGCGCAGGCAGAACAAGTAGGCAGATGTCTTTATTCTGATCCCACAGTTGCAGACATGGCGGCGGGTCGCGCAGAGTTCAGACCTGCAGGGAGACGCACAACACTCTTCCCTGATCGCCAGACCTGATGTTCCCGTCTCAGCAGGACCGGGTCATTATTATATAAGAGATAAGCTGCTCTGAAGGCAGCACACCAGTGGCGCTGAGTGTCTGAAGTGTGAGCACGCTCCAAAATTACACTTCAAAGTGCTCAACTGTCATTTTAAATTCAAGTTGAGTCGCAAAACTGCATCTTAACGAGTGGGAAACTTTCCGAGTAACAATGAAGTGACTTTTTCACCTTTTTACAACATGCAGCTGTTTAGGGATTCATTCATTTATAGACATTACCATAGGGTCTATAAAATTGTAATTGTGAAAATGTTTTATGGACAAAATTATTTATCGATTCACTGAGAAAATTGTCAGTAGATCAATAAAGAGTCTAAGTCACTCCTCTTTGCAGTGGACCACCATGGGACCCTATTTCAAACAAAACATGTCCCGTAGTCAACGCGGCAAGAGACAACTCATTTTTTCATCCTGTCTGAATTGTGTCCTGAATTACACATATGATTTTTGACAATTTTAAATATAGTTCTGCAAGTCAAGAAAGTTGCAGATTGTTAAATTACTGTATTATATTAAGACTGTAAAAAAATTTAAAATAGATAAATTAGGAGGGAACACAAACTGAAACACGACATCTCGCGAGATTAAAATTTGTTTTATTTTGAATCCCTTTCCTTTACATAAATAAAAATATTTCCACCTTAAACTGGTGCAGAATGCAAGAAATTAAGTGTTTAATGCTCAATAGTGTTAAAATCTCGTTCATCTCGTGAACCCAATCTCAAGTCTCGTCACACCCCTCCCACAAACCAAAAGTCGTCTACGTAACGTCATGTCTTTTTCTCTCAATGACTAAAGCGAACGTTTCTGAAGCGAACGTCAAAGAGCTTCCATGTTTAGATGATGTGATGAAAAGATTCATCTGTGTGTAAAACACAGCTAAGTTAGCAAGCCATGAAAGTTAGCTTAGCATTCCAGCGTTAACATGTTGATGACATACATTGTGCGAGACGTGAGATGTAGTTCACTAATGCCTCGCGCAGACTACACGACTCTCAGCGTCAGCCGATGGCCGTGCAGTTGAGACTACACAACTTGCCGTTCTGTGATGGGAGTCTTCAAGTCGTTGTGGCGTTCACACTACTACACGCGAAACAGCTGTTTGTTATTATAAAGGTAAAAATTATAAAGACAAAGAATCTGGGTGAAATGATGGATTAGCACATGCAGGTATAGCAGGGATCGTCTGAGCTACAGAGAGAGCTGGAGCGGAGTAAAAAGGATTTTCACACAAAACTAAATGTTACTTTACTGTTTTACGACAAACTGTGACTTTCTTGACGGACGAAATGATCCTTTAAATTGACAAACATCACGTGTGTAATTCAGGACACAATTCAAACGGAATAAAACAGTAAGTCGTCTCTCGCCTTTGACTTTATTTTTACTGAAATAAGGTCCCGTGGAAGCAAAAAAATTTGCTGGTTTCATCTTCTTAAACTGAGGAATTGCTTCTCTACTTCTATGCAAATGAAGAGTCTTTGGATTTTGAGAAGTCAATTTGGGCTCTGGAAAATTGTGATGAGCTTTTTTTTTTTTTTTTTATAAACACAATTTCTTGATATTTTATAGACTTAACGATTAGTCGCTCGTGAAGATAGTAAAAATAGTCAGCAGATTAGTCAATGAAAATAATTGTTAGTTGTAGCCCAATCCAGGGTCAGGAATGTTTTTTTCTTTTATTAAAAGAATAAAAGAAAAATTGGACACGTTTACTGTTTGTAGTTCTTTTGCAGGTGACAACGGGACAATAAAAGAGTAGAATTCTACAGTGTAGAAGGAAAGTGCTTTAGCTTTACTTACCATTTAGCATTAATGCTAAACATTTTAGAAGAATATATTTACACGTGAAGCTTTATCTGGGCGTGTCTCCTGCATGTGTTTAGCTCTATGATCTTGGCCTAAAGGAAGGCATCGAGTCAGACGGAGAAGCTCTGACCATTCAAACCGAAAGTGCAGCTTCCTGTCCTCGGAAACAACCCTCAGCAGATCTCATCAAGCGAATTCAAAGAGATTATTTTGAACATGTTTTGATCTAAATGCCACTGGTTACTCACGACCTACTGCCCCCCTGCTTCAGCTCAGCTCATTGAGGCTGAATCCAACCAGGCCAGTCCCAAACAAACCCCAAAACAGCTCAGTGTTCGTTCCCACAACACCCAGTCATTTGTCTGAGCAAATGCATGCATCTCTTTAGAATTTTAGCCAGCTGAGAGTTTAAATCATCTACAATCAGGATAGACAATCTGAGGTGGGTATTACCTCACTGTTAACCTGCCAACAGGATGAAACAAGCTTCTCTTTGTCTTGCATGTGATATGATCACTCAGTGCTCCAAATACCTTAAAAGACTGCTGACCAGAATATTAAGGTGGCTTCACTACTTCCTTTCCTGCTTCTACTTAAGTTGAAAGAAAAGTTGGACACGTTTACTGTTTGTAGTTCTTTTGCAGGTGAGACTAGTTGAAAGTTTTAATTATCAGAGTGTGGAGAAGAAACCAAAAGACTAGAGCTGTCCCAGGATAAGGATTTACATAGTCGAATCAGAATCAGTCAAGTCCTGCCTGTAGTCGACTGAGAGTCGAATCGTGTGTGTTTTTGTGCACGGAGATTGCGAGCGGGGGTTTACACACACGGTGCGAGGTGCGAACAACTCGACACCACCAGTGAAGCTGGAGCTCCGTCTCTTCAGCAATTGTTCCTCTTCCGCCACCACACGCTATGCCTACACATGCGCACTGACGACCCAGGGTCAGGGGTTACAATTTTGGATTTCTTTACACACTTTAAAAACATTTAAAAAGTTTTATTCTTTTTACATGTTACATGTACAGCATTAAACCTTGAAATGTATATTGTAATAGGTTGTATATTAATTTATTGGGAGAAAACTGGTAGTTCTATGTAAAATCAGACGTTGAGCGCCCCCATATCGCCAAATTGCCATGATCCTTGTATCGCTGCGAAGCTTCGACTGTGAGATTGACAGTCGAATCAGGCTCCGCCCATCAAAGCTTCGACTATTGGGGGTCAGCCCTACAAAAGACTGTGTTCAAGCTGCTGTAAGCAATATTTTTATATCAACAATGGATCAAATGGAGTACATGCAATGTGAAAGGGTTGTTTGTCGTGAGGAACCCACAGAAAGGTTATCACCTGCAGGGCTCAACAATAAGGATCGCCGAGGGCAAGTAAAATGCCACGTTGGGCAGGTTGGACAGGCGGTAAGTGGTAAAAAATAATTAAACACATCGTTTTGGTGTAATTTAGTAATC